GGGAGAGAGAGAGAGAGAGAGAGAGAGAGAGAGAGAGATAATGGCCTACGTCACAGCTCACCAATGACACGTTTTAGTAGCAAAACTTGTAACAAGAAAATAATTTTATAGTGAACACTTTTTTTCCGCTAAAAACAGTTCTCAAAACATGCGTTCAATAAACATAATGTCGCGATTTTAAAAAAAGCGATATTGTCTTAGCTGTTTAAATTTAAACCTTTTATTCAAAAATCTGTAGAAACCACCCACTGAAATTTTAATGAGTATAAATTATAGAGGCTAAGGCTAATTTCAATAAAATGAGCCCTATTCTGAAAAATAGAAACACCTCAATGAACACCAAAATTATGAAAGTTCTGAAATGCTTTGTATGGTCATCTCTTCTATTTGGCTGTGAATGCTGGACAATCACTAAAGACAGTGAAAACAAAATAGAAGCAACAGAAATGTGGTTTCTTGGGAGACTGCTGAGAGTATCGTGGAAGAAAAAGAAATCAAATGAGGTAGTAGGATGATGAAGCCCACGTGGGACGCTCAATGTTCAAAACAATCAGGAAAATGCAGTTTTTTGGACACTTGAATAGACATTAGTGTTGAACATCTAGCTCTCACTGGCAAAATTGAAGGCCCCGACAACATATTTAGGGAACCTAAACAAATAGGTAACTGAGAGTGAGAAAGATCAGGGAAGCATAGCTTTTTTTTAAAGAGCATCCGAGCAATAGGAATGATTGGAGAACCATGATCGTCGATGTCTGTCGCAGATCTGGCACTGGATGATGATGATTTATAGAGGAATTTCCTAGAATACAGCACATGTGTTTACAAAAATATTGATCTGTTAAGACAAATGGATACGAGTCATTGTGCAAAAGCTGGAGACTAATATGTTGGATGGGTTAGGAGATAATGACAATAACTTGCACCTCAAATTTTTACCGCACTATAGTACCGTCGTTTCGACTAGAAAGGTGAGGCACATTCCAGAGTCAACTTTTTTTTCCCCAAACACGATTTTGTTCTTTAAAGAATGCCGAA